CTATATGATACTGCTATTTGTTCTGCTATTTTTATAGCATTTCCTTTTTTATCTTTTTCTTCTTCTTTGATTTCTTTGAATCAATTAAAAAAAGATGCTAATGTTTACAAAAGAGTATTAGCTTTAAAGGGTGGATTAAAAATAAGAATTGTGTTATATGCATATATGAAGAAAATTAAACTAAAAACACCAGAACCTAAATATAAAACTTTTCTATTCAAACATGAAACTATAGAAATTATTTATTTATTTTTTTTTTTATATTAAGGTGACTACTTGGGGTCTGGCACGGTTTATTAACTTCTCAGTTCAATTATCGGGATACTGAATAGGTACCTTTGACTTTGTTACATCAACGAGAGTACAATTGGACACACGTACAACTTTAGTTATTGTCTAATTAAGGGCTCCGCTATACTATTTATAGTTATCCACCAATTGCCATACCTAGGATCTGCTTGTAGATCTTCTATTTAACTCTCTGATCGACTTAGTACTGTCAGATGCTTTTCTCAGAAGAATTCCTGCCGCTAAGGCCTCTTAGAACTACTTTATCCTCATAGTAAACCTACCAGAGCAGTCCATGTTCCACACATGTATTACCCGGGTTTTTCGGTAACTTACGCCCAATCCGAAAACTGGTACTTGTGGCTTTTGTAGCCGCTATCATTATTTACTTCTTACAAGATTCGTTCTGATCCCGATACCTACTTTTAACTGATCCTTATACCGATCTCTCCCCAACTACCAAACTAGTTAGCCTGGAAGGGTTGTTGTACCTAGGCTTTAAATACCTTTTGGTTTTACTTTTCTTGGTTTTGAATTCCATAGCATTGGACCTTTTCCTCCGGTGCGACTCTGGCGGCCAGGTTGGTGGACCCTTCTTGCCCAAAGTTGTTTATCTGGTTCTTTGGTCTCCGGTTTCAATTTTTCGTAGTATTGTCAAAGATCTTCACTACTCCTAGCTCGAGTCTTGCCAAACAGGTTTTAAATATTCCAGTTTCTTGGATTTGGATCACCCTAAAGCTTTTATAACAAGATAGTAGTACCAAGATTACAGATGATATACCCAACCGATCATCAAATAAATATTACTAGAATACAGGCCTATTTTTTGAAAAATGTCTCCAGTAGGAATCGAACTCTAGACCTGCCGCTTGGAGGGTAACAACTTAACCACTACTCTATGTCGCTACACCCCTAACTATAGAAATTATTAGAAAAGATCGAATCAATATAACTATAGAAAAAAGATATAATGAAATTATAGACCAGATTGAGGATGAAGCAATACAGAATCAGGATGGTTATTTGTTGAACAGAAGAGATAATTCTCGAGATAAGCACTTTTAGACTATTGCCAGAGGTAGTTATTTACTTTTACTAGAAGCTTTGGATAAATCTCAACTAGGATTAATTAACCCACAAAACAGTAATGATAATGAGTATTTTAAATAGTGTATAAGTGCATACTATACACAAGAGGAAGTATTAAAAGCTAATAGAAAGCCACTACATCTTAATAAAATTTGAAGACTTAGACAAAATGCAGATATAGCAAATTTTAATAAAATAAATTTTCTAGCAATACTACATGATATTGATAAATTTGAAGAAATCAATCTTAATTATGCTATTAATATATTTAGGCTAGTATATAAAGAAGTGTTCAGAAAAATAAAAGTAGATATAGACCCATTATATATCTCTGAAAGAAATTATCAAGTCGAACATATAATAGATTTATTATATTTAACAAAAGGTAAGAAAAGTTTAAATAACCGAAAAAATCTTAATGATATACCTGAAGAACTTAGAACACATTATATACTTATAACAGATTTAACTCGATTAATATGTAAGTAGAATAACCATCATAGAAAAAAATACTTTTGCTGAAAATGTTTATGATTTCCATATAGTAGATTAGATTTATTACAAGAACATATTCTTACATGTCTAGATTTAACTAAAGCTTCACAACAATTAATATTTCCTGAAGAGGGTAAGAATTATATAAAGCCTAAATATATCAAAAACATGCTAATGAAACCTTATTTAATTACTGTAGATTTAGAATTTAAAGAAATCAAAGAAGAAGAAAAAGATAAAAAAGGAAATGCTATAAAAATAGCAGAACAAATAGCAGTATCATATAG